ATTGTCAAAAATAGTGGTTTTTCAGGAAAAGGTAGGTTCTGAGCTATTTAATCATGTATTGTCATTATAATACATGTAAGTAGTTCAGCAATTAAGGGGAGAAGGCGCTTGCTACTCCTGTGATTATGGTCATCAAAGGCATTGTGGTTGCAATCATTGTCATCACAATGACTGTAGTTTTTAACATTGTTATTATCACCACTATTTTCATCACCATCAATTTTCCTATCATCATGTCAATCACCATCATCACAAAGCACTTTACATGAGTTTATTTCAAATCAAAAATCGACATTCTCTTGTGTGATTTTTGCAGTGATGACATTTTTTGTCTTTTTTTAGGTTTTAAATTTAATGAAGAAGAAAACAACAAGGTTACTGAAGCCAAAAAGCTTCAAAAATGGGTAAGTAACAAAAAAGATTTCCCCAACAAACTGAAACATTTAACATAAATTATTATGTTTATATTAAGAGAAAAGGCACAATATTATTTTCATCATATGAAATGTCAAACGTTTTCGAACTATTAGTTCATCATCAGGACTATGTTTTTGTTTGTATGGATATTTTATGCTGTTTTAACCACATGTAATGTATACTTGATATAGAAATAATTGTAAGAAACTCGTTTTATGTTTRTGATTGTGTTCAGGCTCTTGGGTTACAAGACTCAGATGATGAGGCAGAAGCTGCAGAAAAAGAAGTTGAAGAAGTAAGAAATATGACTTGTTTTCAATCACTTCCTTGAGATTCCATTGACAGAATTTTGGCAGCCATGTCGGTGGTTATGAGTGCTAGATACCAATGACCAGTATTTTGCTAAAATACACTCTACATGGCTGCAGTCATGGTGACCGATGTGACTATAGTAACAGTACCAGTCATTATGTCTAGGAAATCTCTTCGTTGGTTGTTGTATTAACTTATTGTTTGGTTTAGATTGAYAAACGACTGGATGCTGTTTTCAGCAAGAAGCCCCACATTAAAAAAGTCGTACCAGTTGGCAATGAAGCTCAAATTAAAGGCGAACAAAAGGGTAAAAAAAACTAATGATGAACACGTTTAGAATATTTTGTTTTAATTCGTTTATCTTGTATGTTTTCAGCTAAACTCAACCTTGCTGCCAGTATCGCTGCAAAAATCAACCAGAAAATCAGCGCAGGGACAAATGTATGTAACTTCAATGCTTATGAAAGTTTAATGGATGAACAAATGATTGAATAGATGGAACATTCAGTGAATGAGAGTGAATGAAAGGTTGAACGATATGAATGGCCATCAAAATTAAAGAATGAACATGTGCATTTTGGTTTGTAAGTGGATGGGTAAATGATTATATAGATGTTTATGCGAATAAAGGATTTAATTTGACGAAGGGATAAATCTTGCTTTAGAACCTCGATCCCACACAACAAGCAGCAAGTCAGATTATCAAAGGTGGAACAGTTACAGCGCTTACTGTAAGTAAAAATCATTCAGTGGCAACATTGGTTTGTATACCTTTATCTCCAAACGACAAGTCCGAATTACCCTATGACGTCACATCAAAAATTGTATTCAAACCTAAAACACCCAATCCAACTTCGCCTGCGTAGCCAGGCGTTCCTAGCTGCAGTGGTTATACGCAGGCTAGATAAAAGTGCATTGAGTGGACAGAGAATGATGTCAATAAAATAGTAGATTTTTTATGGTCAGCTTTCGAACAAAAAGGAAATTAAATCCAAATTTCCAATGCCACTGTGAACATGATGCGACGTCATACATGTACAATTCTAGAGGATTTTAATCACATATTTAAAACAATAATGTGTGTTTTCGTGTTAGGGTCTCGACCTGGCCAAACAGCTTGCAGAGAAGATTCATAGTAAACTAAACTATGAAGGACCACAAGAAGAACCGAAAGAACAAGAACAAAAAGAAGTMGAAACAGAGCGCTACGAAGACGAAGTCGAAATTAATGAATTCCCTCAAACTGCTCGATGGAAAATCACGTCCAAGGTAGCTAAAAACTCATTGCGTAGCAATAACATGAAAGATGGTGTGGTTCTTGTCGCTGCTGCTGCTATTGTTGTCGGTTTCGCTGTTACTTTAGTTGCTCTTGTTGTGCTGTTCATGTTGTGGTTCTTGCTGTTCTGCCAGATGCTTTTCTGCATGGCTGTTTTACTGACTAGCGTTCTTTTCGACTCAGGACACCATCATGGCAATTACTGAATATTCTGAATGTGCAGTTACTGTTCGAGGAACATTCTTCCCGCCAGGTACATTTAAATACCATGTAATTGTTCTTTGTTTTTGTCGATCAATCAATGGGGAGAGTATCACAGATGCATACGAAATCTCAACGACTAAAGACTAAGTCTATCGTTTGTTCGAATGCAGTGTAATGGAGGTTTTATGTGGGACAGGGTTTTCCTTTTTAGTATGGGCAAATTCAATGAAAATTTATCATAATTCTGTGTTATAGGTAAAGAACCCAAGGAAGGCGAAAGAAAAATCTATCTGTATATCGAAGGTATTTATTCTTGTTATTTGTTGTGATAGCAAAGCAGCGATATTTATAAACCAACTTACAGAAGAAAACCCTACTCTCACTCCCCAAGTTCAACAACACAGGCTGCCCAGTCTTAGTATATTTTGTGATAGCAAAGCAGCGATATCTATAAACCAACTTACAGAAGAAAAACCTACCACGCTTTCACTATAACAAGAGGTTCTCTGTACTTGTACATGGTTGTCTCCGCTACCCACTCTCCCTCCCCAAGTTCAAGAACACAGGCTGCCCAGTCTTAGTAATATTTCGTTCTTTTTGTCCACAGGCCCTTCTGAACGTGCTATTCAACTTGCAAAAGTAGAGATAAAGAGAATCGTCAAAGAGGAACTCGTAAGACTGGTAAGAACAATCTAACAACCACCATCACCTACCATCAATTTCCACCAACCCCAACCCCTCCCACACCAACCCCAACACCTCCCACACCAACCACCACCCAAAGGTTGTTTGGAAAATTAARACGCTATTAATTTTGTTCCATAATGTATATATTGAGAAGTAACATGTTTTGTTCTCTTTTAGGGTACTTACCGCGGACCCCAGCAAACCGGCCGATACAAAGTYGTTTAATCGACCTCTGTAGTGATAGGTAGTAAGGGTACTTACCGTGGACCCCAGCAAAGCGGCCGATACAAAGTTATTTAATCGACTTCGGTAGTGATAGCTAGTGGAAGATTTTTTTAACTAAACTTATAAATCCTTGTCTGTTCAAATGACTGTTGGGCAAGTTTGGAAATAATATGCGGGATTTTTACTGCGACTCGAACTGAAGAAACATGGCAAACGTTTCTAGTTTATTAGCATTCTCTGTGATATTTTTTTATCATACACAAAAACCTAATAACGTAGTTTCGCGCTCTGATACTATTCATAATATTTCAAGCTTTTTATTCTATTTTTCCTAAACAAATGGGAACAAATATCCCACATTGTTGCACGAAAATCACCACTTTGCTATCGCGCAACTCTAATCGTAAATGCAAACAACCTTACGGTTGTTGCGTCGATCAATTTCCAAGCATGCGCGACGATCGCCGGGAAATCGGGCTGCAAAAAATCGCWAGTGTAAACAGGCCTTAGTAGCTTCCACCTGCATTTTGCGAAACGGTGTTACTGATATTTCAAACGAACCATACGGGTCGATGATTRTTTGTGGGAGTGGGAGTCTGTCGATTGGCTGGTCACTTCACAAGCCACGTGAATTAAATGTGGTGATGGTTTTGAAAAACATTTTACTTTAGATTACTAGATTACAGGAGTTGTCTTTCGAAAAATCAGTCGATTAGAAGTCCCCCCTTATTTGAAACAATGAGCAAAGTTGGTTACTAACTATGAAACATTCAGTTGCTCATGTAAAGGAGAAGAGCTAAAAAAACCCTAAAAAAAAACTCAAAAACGTTACTAAAGATTTTTCTTTTAGCACATTCCTTCCATTCTCTGTCTTTCTTATTTATCTCTTTCTTTCTTTCTTTCTTTTCCTTGTATTCAATCCTTTTCATTTGTTATAGAATTAAATTCGGAACCTCTATATTACGAATACCGACTTGAGGTGCCGGTATGTAGAGGTCATCTACTAAAGAACTGTACTAGGATATAGTTCTATGGTATTGTAAAAAGACAGGTTTTAAAATTTCAGCCATGTTTACCATACCACTCTTCACTAAACCTGTACCCTATACATGTAGATTATCAGTTCACAATAAAATACTTTTCAAGATCAGTTTAGGCCTGTTTATTGAACTGTATGAAGTGTATTATGTATTTTACATGACTCTTACATCACCTCTTTATTCCAAAATGACCCAAAATATGCCATCGTTTTATCTTACTTTTTTTCTTGAAGTATTTATTCATCCTTTTGTGTAGTATTCTCTCCAAGCTTTCAAGTCTTATTTAATTTCAATGCTCTATTGTAAATACTAGAACGCGTATCAGAAAGGAAAGAAAACAAGATGCTCTTTACATCAGGGAGAGTATCAAAGAGTTAGTAGTTATGGTCATTTTCACAGTGCTCTTCACTAAACACTCTTGTGCTWAATCGAATGTTTTTACACGTGACATTGCTCATTTCTGGGTAWTCTAGATCGGTGATCTTTTGTTCTTTAAAGTTATTTTATTTATCAAATTATTATTTTGTGGATGGGTATTTTTCCACCCAAGTCGATTTGCGTGCTTTGGGATATTGAAACTRATTACATATGCACTTCCGGAAYGCATCAAACCATGCTTGCAGAACAAAGAAATACGTTTTAATCAATAGAGTCGGCTTTATTATTTACTCTAAAAACCCAGAGGAATTCATTCCAAGCTAAATTTACATAAATTTCACTCTTTGGCGGGAAACCATTCAAATGTTAATTTCAGTAAGCCAATCGAGTGCAGCTTGGTGGCTAGGTTTGATTGACAGCTTGCTTGTATGAACCGAAAGAGTRGCTGGCTGACCCGACGGGCTTTTCTACATGATCTGGATATATCTCGTGGTTGAGTTCGAGTAACTTTATGTGTTCATATGCTCCCAGTATATGTGTAATTTSACTTTSTAGACCTCGTAGAAATCCATTGGAGTGTCGAGAAAGCCATTGCAATGCCAGCAGGAACGCGCTCGGCTAAGAAAGATAAAGGTAACATTATTTTGTAATTTTCGTATGGAGCGCATGGAACGATTTCGACGCAGTCTTGTTGTAAACAAAATTATTTCAAAGTTATCAGGTCTTAACTCAACACTTTTATGTTCTATTTCAGATAATGAAGAGTCAGAGGAAAAAAATGTCGAAAGCAGAGATGCAGAAACTCAAACAGACCCCGAAATAACTGGAGTTGACGCGGACGATTTCGAAGAAGATGACGGCAGCGAGGAAGAAGACTCCGAAACAGAAACTAGTGACGATGATGATAATAATCGTAAGAAACCGTTGAAAATTGTTGACGAAGAATGCACCTCAAGCAAAGGAACATGTGCCAGACCAGTTCCACGMAAAAAGATCGAGCTCAAGTATTATTTTGGAGAAGATATGCCAGATTCTGAGCTGAAGAAACGTAAGTTAATTTAAAATTCGTGAACTTAAACCTCGAGCACATGGTCTGGAGTCGAATAAATTAGTTACGCTAGACTTCGGATTGTTACTGTGCAAAACTTCGAAGATAAAAATGAACAACTTTTAAGTTTACGTTGTAAATTGTAAGGAAATAGCTTTTTTCCCTTCTCTAGTGTAATTTTTGTTCAATGCAATAATTGATTTAGCATCGAAGCGACCTGCTCTCAGACATATTTATTTTACCCACTCGTGGTCACTAGTAGTGGCATACACTGTAAAACAGGACTGTCAAATCCAAATTGTTCGAGAGTTATTATTGTCCAACAGTCATATCATAGCTCGCTGTAGATCGTATGTTTTTGGTTGATTATTGAAGGCTGAGTTTATTGTGTTATTTTGCGTGGTTGGGGCAATTTGATGCTCAGAGAACCCAAGTTTTGAATATTCATGTACTTGCAGAGCACGCTGAAATCACTCAATCATGAAATAGTTTTGGGTACGTTTGGTTTGTTCTTTTTCGAAACTAAAGCGWGAATATGTATATATTGTTAGGTCATTGATATYGAGTATTTGGATCTTTAATTTTTATTCCGGGAAGCCATTTGAATGCTAAATGTTTATCACAACGTGTGCAACATATGCCGTGAAATTTCAAACCTGCAAACCACACATACCCATTAATTGCAACATAAGACGAAGAATTTTGATACATTTTTTCTAGGTGGATAAAAATTATTTCAATGACCAATCAAAACGTGGTCTTTTTTCCTATTTTACTTACATGGAAACTAGATCAGCAAGCAGTGAATTGAACGGGATTAGAATATGAATACAATGACTTTTGTCCACAGTCTGTTCATTTGTTGTTTTTTCCTTACAATTAACATTGATAGTTTCATGTTCTTGATGGACATCTTTACATGGAACCTTGCAGATGGTCATTTGTGTTAATTCATCTCTTTTAAATCATCAGAAAAGAACAAGTTGCAATTAAATGACACTAGATTGCCCCTCCCTCCTGGAAGCAAACATCAAAATCCTCATTTTCAAAATTTATCATCCTTGTACTGAAAATTGCATGACATTTTTTTGTTTTCTTTTTCTTTAGAATTTTCAATCACTCTTTTGTTGCTGTGGCGAAGGCTTTTCAGAAATTGTCTTCCACATTTGATATTCAAAGAATCTTGAATAATCTAAAATGTTGAAATTATTTCACATTAATGATTGTTTATCCAACTACTAAGCCAAATATTCAACGAACATGACAATGATTTTGAAAACTTGTTATTGTGACAAGAATTTCCCATGGTGTCATTTTCTATGCACTTCCCTTAATTCTGAYATAAAAAAGTAAGGATTTCTAGGTATGAATTGCAATTACCATTCACAAACTCATGCATTGTTTTTTTTTTTTAGTGGCAGAAGCCGATGTCTTGGTTCCACCTGGACTTGAAATACGACCGTCATCTAATCCTAGAGGTGGATTAGGCATATTTGCAAGGTGTGTCATACCTAAACATGAGTTCTTTGGTCCATATACTGGCAAAAAGATTCTTGCATCAGAAGCAACCACAAACTACAAAGACATCCAGTATGTCTGGGAGGTGAGGATAGTTAAAATTATGTTACTTCCTATTATAATATTATCCCTTTTGACAACCACAATGACATCACCCCATAACATCTGCTGCATTGTTGGATTCTGGATTCCACTGTTTTATCAGAGTTGTATTCCATTGACTCAGATTCTGAATTCCAAGTGCCTGGATTCCAGACARATTAAATTTTCTTTCACATTCTGGATTCTGTGTCATGGGTTGATTGACAGGCCAGGGGGGACACTATAAAATGTTAAAAATTGAAGTATGTTTAATACTTTAATAATTATTATTATTAATTATTAATCTATTATTATCAATTAATAATTTTCAGGTCTTAGATGATTATGGTAAGACCAAATTTTACATTGATGGACGAGACTCCCTACAGTCAAACTGGCTGAAATATGTTGGTTGTGCAAACAGTGTTGATGAGCAAAATATGAGATGTGTTCAGTATGACAACAGTATCTACTACATGGTGACCAAAGACATAGAAATAGGAAAAGAATTGCTCACATACTATGGTGACAGCATTGCCAGGAAATTGGGCATTAAAGTGAGCAAAAAATCATCACATTCCAGTAAGTCATTACTATCTGCCTTCTCTATTCTGTTTCTGTTTTTATATTTGCCTTTATATTCATGAAAATTCAATCAAATTATTGAAATTGGATTATCATTGGTTGTTACTGTAAATTTTTTCCAGGAATTACTTCAACCACCTTAAATGCTCTATCTCTTGTGCCTTTAAATGTCTCCTTGCTGAAACTTTAATCTTGAATTATGCTGTGRTACTATTAGTCTCCTTTGCAGCCTCGAYAGGAAGCCCAACAAARGGGGAGGCTGCGTAGGAGACTATGATACTATCTGAYCCTAGAAATTTTTTGTTAATGTTATTTTATACTTGTTTAACAGAAGATGAAGTTGAGAACTTTGTYTGCAAGAACTGTGGTAAGATGTACACAAACCCGAGTGCTTTGATTGGACATCTGAAGTTTAAATGCAGCTCTGGTAGGTGGACTGCTACTTGTACTATCCTTCTGTCCTTTCTCTCTCTCCTTCCCTTTCTTTCACTTTCGATTCATTCGCTCTTTGATCTTTATACCCTCATTTTGTGTCCGTGTATTAATCTTTATTGAAAGACTTTTCGTGTATTTAAGTATTATTGTAAATACCAATGATTTTATCATATTTACTTGATATTGTAATTTGTCCAGGTCAACAGCGAAGTATCTTCATTCCTATGCCAGCAACAGGACCCAGGTCTCTAATTCCTAAGATTAAAGTCTCCGAGGAGTATGCCAAGCAGCAAAACGAAAAAATGAAGAAATTCAAGTGCGAAGAATGCGGCAAAGCGTTCATACGCAACTACACGCTACAATGCCACATGCTGATCCATAAGGGTGTCAAGGATTTCAAGTGCGAAGAATGTGGCAAAGAGTTCACGCTCATGAAGCATCTTCAAAGGCACAAGCTCGTTCACACCGGCGAGAAACCTTACAAGTGCCATCTTTGTGGMAGGGCATTTTCTCAGCAGGGGAGTCTGCAAGCTCACAGCCGTACCCATACCGGGGTGAAACCGTAYAAGTGTAAGATTTGCGGGCGTGCCTTYGCCCTACAGTCACCATTGCTGTCCCACATCAAGACRCACAGCAATGAAAAGGCATTCAAGTGCGAGAAATGCGGTAAAGAATTCACCCACCGCAATACCCTGGCAAGACATGAGTTGATACACAGTGGCAAAAGGCCATTTAAATGTGAGAAGTGTGGAAAAACCTTCACCCAGACCAATGACCTTAAGAGGCATAGTCGTATCCATACTGGAATCAGGCCTTACATGTGCCACATCTGCGGCAAATCCTTCACCGTTGAGTTCACTTTGGTTTGCCATGTGAGAACCCATACTGGAGATCGTCCTTATCAGTGCGATTATTGCGATAAGTCGTTCACTCAGCCAGGTGCTCGTCTGAAACACGCTCGCAAGAACCATCCAGACAAACCACCTCCAACCAGCCAGCACATKAAAGAACAGGCCGCTGCTGCAGCTGCTGCTGCCACCGYTGCTAGCTCCACAGTCACAACCAATGGTGTCATAAGCAATGGAAACAGCGAGACGGCTGTTACTCCCAGCGAGGAAGCAACTTCCCCWACCAACGGCGACACCGAAGCAGCAGGAACAAGTAACGATGTTGAGATGACAGGAGTTCAAGTACTGACGGCGCCACCAATTGTCCTGACTGAACCACCTCCAGAGATGGAAGTAGCTCAAGCTAATGGGGTGTCCGTATAATCCCCGGCAAAGTTTATCGATTCTTCTGACGATAATTACAAGTGTAATGGCTAAAATCCCATTTATGGACTAATTTATACTTGTTCGAGTTCATAAATAAAACATTTTTTATGATATTAGCTCGTCTAAATATTATTTGTACGTTTGTTTAATATTCTAAAAAAAGCTACTTTTCATTGTGATCGCTAGTTTTGTTATTGAGTAATTTTTGACCTTGGTATTGAAAATCAATGAAATAAAGGCAAGTGTTTCCAGAAATTATTGTGTAATGAGTTTCAGTGGATGCGTTCAGGAAATGGTTTCCAGAGATATGCCATATAAAGAATAATGTTCAATTTGTAAAAGAAAGTGAAAAAGGATTTTTTTTCATTATTACAGTTAACTCTCTTTGAACGACCACTCTAGTAAGCGACCATCTCCCGTAAKCGACCACCTTTTAAATTTCCCGTTTTGTTCAGTTTCCCATATAAACTCTGTAAAAAAACTTTATCGTAAGCGACCATCTCTCGTAAGCGACCACTTTTTCCTGATCCTGGTCGCTTACGGGCCTTAACGAGAGAGTTGAATGTAGTCGAATCGTCTTACGGAGAGAGTATCGCGGGCGCATGAAATCTCGACGGCTGGAGACTGAGCCTAACATAAACTCTGTAAAAAAACTTTCTCGTAAGAGACCATCTCTCGTAAGCGACCACTTTTTCCTGATCCTGGTCGCTTACGGGCCTTACGAGAGAGTTGAGTGTAGTCGAATCGTCTTACGTTGTGCGCATCGCGAATCATCAGCTCCAAGTTACAGAGGAATCTACTCTAAGTTCATACGTACGCCAAGCTGACAAAAGGGCTCGAATCAAGCGGTATCCCCCTCACAATACCCCCTTCCCCCTCAATTAATTAATAGACTGCACTAGCGCGAATACTGACCATAATTCATTGGAATTGGGCTCCCTGCCTGATTACCATTTCCCGTAGTCCTTTATGCGAGGAGCGGCTACCTAGTGACAAACKGACGATCTGCAAGTGCCTATCTACTATTTCCGTACATCTACACAGTGAACTTCGTGAAAGGTAATATAGTGTAATGGCATATCCGGGATATGGTGCACCTGGGGTAAGTAGGGAGGGTTGAACATGGCGATATTAGGTAAATAATTCGTATATACATTCAAAGAACGATTCTGGTGCTTAATTATGCAGAAACCTGGGCGTCTTTTGTAAACAGAATTTAAGCTTAGACATATTAAAGCGAAACTCTCTTGAAGGCGTTCCTTCTTCTCTACAAAATTACTTCGTTGATGTCTTAGTTAATATTGATGCCTCTTTAAGTTATTAAGTTGTGCTTTCTGCGGAAAGATGATCAGATGTTGTTATAGCACTTTCGAACCTTGGCTGTGAGTGAATAGACGCTTTAACTTTGTGCATGTTCTATAATGTGTCCATTTATTTTATCGGTTCATCCAAACTTCAAGCAGTACTAACAATTTGCAAATTAGAAATTAAACAAGGTAATGAGGAAGCTTTAAGTCCTTAAAGTTTC